GTGGTAAACACCATGAACCTTCAAGCACACTCCAGCCTTTGCCGCGCGCAGAGCAGCTTTCAGGCTGTTGCTTGGCCGTGCAGCCTGCTGCCAAAGAGGTAGCTCTTGGGACTCTGCATGCTGCCATAAGCAAAAGCAATGGCGCCAAAGACAGCCCCATTGCAGTCCAGTCATGTTGACGGGGGATTCTTGCTTCAAGATGCTCCTGGTCTCCAGAATTTTCTGAGCAGAGAGCCGCAGCTGCCCGGCGTGCCGCGGCCGTAGCGCTCCTCCGTTCTGCAGCCGCATGTGCCACACATGGACATCGAAGGAACAAATGGCCTCTGCATACCCATGAGTCTAAGACCCTAGGATGGGTTGACCTGTGCTTTGGCCGATCCCAACTCTGACCAGGCTTCTGGTTCTCCAGATTCCGCCGCGACTCGCAGGCAAATGGGCCTTGGCTGCTCTCCTGCTGTATCAGAGTCATGCCATGGCCCCATGCCACTGGTGAGGCCTTGGTTGGAAAGCAAGACGGTGAAGCGCAACCAAGCTGCTCGCTTTGCTGGCATGGCTCTGGGCCGCATCGCAGATGTTGAGAAGCGTTCTAGTTTTGCGTGATTGTTCTCAGTTACCTGCTGGAGGGGGGACAAGGGGCAGCGTGACTGTCAGCACAGCAAGTTGTTGTTGTGTTGCTTTTAAATTTGCTGCTGTTCAACTGGATGCCTGGGAGCAATGTACACCACACAGAGTGCGTTAGAAGAAGTCAGTAGAGCACAACAGGCCGACACCTTCGCAATATGCGGCGGCAAGCTTGATGTCCGGAGTTCCTGGATGAACCGCATGATAGCCAAGATAAGGTTAAGCTGTAAAGTCACCCAAGGTTGGACGATATTAGGTTTCAACAGGTAGGTCCAGGCTACAGGGTCATGCTAGCTTCGGTGTCTTACTTGCATATGAGGGCATACATCATCTACATGCATACCAAGAAGGTTACATCCGTGCACTTGATCACCGCAGTACTTGAGCCTAGATTGAGTTCGGAGACTAGATTATTGCTGAGGACTGTATCTTCCCTGAGGCACATCATCATTTTGCTAGGTAGTTTGAATCTCCTCAAAACTTGTTCTGATTCATAGCATTTGGGTTCCGCCTCCTAATCCTAGCAAAGCTCTCGATTTCTGTAGGCCCGTTCCAGGCCTGCATGGAAATCAGGAGCTTTGCTTTCTGCAAGCATTTTTTGCCTCTGGCTCCTCTCCAGTACGAGGCAGCGACTCAGGGAGTTTGTCGCAATTGCTTCACAAAAGCAATTTAATTCAGAACCAACACCTTTACAAGCGGTGCTGATTCGTTCAGGATGGTGTGAGTAGTTCGTCAACGTTCCCATGTCTTTGAAGCTGACTGCGGCCACTCAACGGAGACATCACAACAGGCAAAGCCTCATTAACATATCACACATCATCAGGTCTGCAGATTCGTACGCTTGATAGAACATGCTCATCTAATTCTGCTGCAGACCTGTCAGCAGAGGCACGGTACCAGCAGACTTTCTCTGCCAGTAGCCAACCTATGAGGGGCTCGGAGGTTCGAAGCATACTTGTGATGCCCTCCATTGCAAGTGTGTCCTGGCATTATGCAGCTGACTGCAAAATGCCCTAGCTACTGCACTTTGCTTTGCAGCGAAGATTTAACCTTTGAGAGGTCATTCGAGCTGCCGGTGTAGAACATCTGAAAATGTAGAGAAAGATTTCAGTGCAAACTTCTGACAAGGTCCCAGCTACAGGCTATTACCGGCTCGTTCTCAAAGTGAAGCTACTCTGACCGCGGAGTTAAGATTGACTGCCTCAACGCTACCATCAGTCACAGCTGCGGGCCCCAGGGCACGCCTGGACTTTGTGAGAGAAGGCACAATCAACCCTTTAACATCCCGCGGAAAATCTTCGCACCACTCCAGCTCGCAACAAGATAATCTTAGTCGCTGGACATGCCTTCCATGATATCTAGGTCTGCACTCCAGCTTTGAGACTAACTAATCATTAATCAAGAATGCGTAGTAGTTTGCGGGATGATGTGCAGGCTTCCCCGCCTCGGGTGTGCGCTGCCTGAAGCCAAACGCCCTGGCAAATGCACCAAAAGTGACAGCACAGCATGCTATGTCCCAGGCCAACATGACGACATGCAGACAATCACCAAGCGCCTTCTCTGGCCAAGTCTTCTGCTTGTCAGGAAGCCACCATGACCTGAGTCAAGAAAAGAAACGAGCGGAATGAGGTGCTTGCACTGTTATCTGGCTTTGACCGCTGGCAAAAACGCTCTCACGGCCTGGATCAGGTAGAGAGGAAGGGCTTGAAAATCTTTGAAGACGCAGAAGACCCTGGGCCTCTGCAGCAGTTAGGGGTCATGGACAGATCGACTCTCATATTTTGGCAGCCCCGGTCAAGGCCTTGAGGCATCGTCAGTTGTGGAGTCGAAGCGCTTTCCTGAAGCATCCCAGCGCGGTGGCTCCAGGAGACCCTCCTGGGTTCCAAGCAGGCCAGGGTCGTACAGGGAGATTGCTTAGATCTTTGCGCCTTGCCGCGCGTGAAGTTGCCGGGCCTAAGGACCCACACGCCGTGCGACGTTCCCAATCTTATAGGGGTCCTAGCTAAAGCTTGGCTTGGCTGGAATTGATCTTCAACATTATGTGGTGGTGTATCGTGGGTGGTGGTGGCAGCAGCAGGTGGTGGTATGTAGGAGCAGCAATAGCTGTTCGCTGTTCCGCGTACCATAGCAAGGAATCAAGTGGTCCTGTGTGAAAGGCTCATGCATCTGCAACGTTGACCTTGGCCCCTGGCAACACTCCAGCCAGCAGCAGCGCGCGACTGGACTGGGTTCGCCCGGCAAAGCGAAGCGCATAAGCCTGACAAGAGAGGCATCTCCCACCGCTTCTTCCCTGGCTGCATGATCTTAGCAGAACCCCACGGCTTCGATCTGTCTGCTATGGTCTGCTGACATGTCCCCACACAATGACAAAAGAGCTCCGGCCGGATCTTCTGCGAAATAGACGCCACGCCCAAGCTTCGAGCCATGCCTTCCAGAAGTGTGGACAATTCAAAGTTCATGGGCGTGAACATTTTGCTGCGCTGCCTGGCATTACAAACTTCAGAACATCCACTCTGCTTTTAAAAGCAAAAAACGTTGCCACATCAACTACATACTTGCCTTGCGTTGAAGGCGTATGCACGATTGAATCCGTGACGCCTGCACGGCTGGAGAATGCTGAATACAGGCGAAGAAGCACTACTTGATCAAAACGACTGGAGGGAAAGATCATTGAACGAAGCGCAGGAGAGGTTTGGCCGTGGAGTGAACCAAAGGGTCAAGTCCAAGAGACGTATGACACTGTTCAAGGGAGGCATCAAGCACTTCACTACAGCAACAACCGGCAAAAGCACTTCAATAGCAGGAAGTGAAAGCGACAGGGCGTCTCCACTGGCAAGCGGTCACTGCACTTGCTACGGCTGCAGCCACTTGCTTTTGTCACCCAGTGGGGGAGACTACCTACCCATGCCTAGACTTAGTCGTCACAGGTGTTATCAAGGCACCTGCTGATAGATGATGTCGTTAACACTAAAATCGTGCCGCTGAAAGAAAAAGCGACTCAGGGCCAGGCACGATGTTGGGTACACATTCCCAAGCTGTTCCATGCCAAAGGAGGCGCTCCTGCGAAGAAGTGGCAGCATAAGACGTTCCCAGTGAATGGTGAGAGTGCTGTTTTTTTGCTCCGCATGTTTTTTACTTTTTTTGTTATGCGTGCTTTTTGTTTTCATCTCGCAAGCTCCGCAACGCATTCGGAACAAAAAAACACGCCCTGGGCGCCTTTTTTTTGCTCCGCGTGCGTTGCGGAGCTTGCGAGAAAAACAAAGACTTTCTGGAACAATATAGACTTAAATATGTTTTTTACAGTGAGATATGTAAACTGTTAGATTTTTTTGTAAAAAAAACACATGTAAAACCTACATTGGTCAAGCACATCTCTAGCTTTATCTAGAAGCTACGCAACGCATGCGGAGCCAAAAACAAAAAACATGCCCTGCGTGTGTGTGTGTGTGTGTGTGTGGACCTCTCTTACTAAGAGTTTTTTCAAGATTTCTGCCCTCTATGGCTACTCTGCGCAACGAAGCTATGCCATAGAGCGGGGGATAGACTGATCACCTATCCATACCAGCCTGCAGAGCAAAGAGTTTCATTTTCCAGTTTTATGGTGCGCTGTCATGTACAGTTTGGGAAACACCACAGAAAAAGGGAATGAGCCTTTAGTCCAGATGACAAGGTACTCAGACCCCCAGTCAAGGACTTCATGTCCTTAGGACATCGAGCTCTGCTTGATAGATGAACAGATTTGGGCTAGCGTTTGGATGCACAAGTGTGTATCAGGTNNTGCGGCGGGGTTGCCCATGCAAATTGCCTGCCTGTTGCGATGTGTTTACGGCAGGGATGACAGGGACTTGGCTACCGTAATGGAGCCTCACAGGACTGATCAACATACCGGCTCCGACAAATTGCATCCCGATGACTTTCAGATGCGATGTTTCTTGTTGCTTGCTTCATGCAAGTTTTGGATTGCCCGATTCATTGCAGGTATCCGAATGAACTTCCAGATGCGAGGAATCCATGGCTTCTCCATTCGCAGCCCTCCCATTTCAGCATCATGGAAACTCCAGCTAGAACAGCTGGGGATGACAGCAAGCACCATAGTTCAGGGTTTTTGGAGCTTGTTGTGCGTTCTTGTTTTTGTTTCGTGGGGTTCGGGTGGGGTTGTTCTTTGTCTTTTGTTTCTTGTTGGGGTCTTGGTGTGTTCAAGGCTTGCGGTTTTGCTTGTTCGGCGCTTGCTTTGTCTTGTCGTGCTATGTTTGGTCCTACCACACTGGATCAACTGCCGCGGGGGCTTGTTGAGTGTGTGCGGGCCTTTGTTTCTAAGTGTTTTCTTTGATTGCAACATGTCAAAGTTAGAGGGGCCATTCGGGGCCCTCCCATTTTAGAATCAAAGAAACTCCGGTTGGAACAGCTGGAAAAGCAAAAGTGAGGCGAGCAAACGCAAAGAAGGAGAAAACAGTGAAGCTGGACAATGGTCTGGCTTGCAAAAGCAAAGCTCCGCATGACGCCTGAGCTGGCAAAGGAGCTGAGGCCTGACGGCCAGCACCATCGTTCAGGGTGTCTTCGGCGCTTGCTTTGTGTTCTTGTCTTTGCTTCGTGGGGCTTGGGTGGGGTTTGTCTTCTGTTCTTTGTTGGGGTTTGGTGTGTTCAGGGCTGGTAGTTTTGCTTGTTCGGCGCTTGTTTTGTGCATGCTGTTTTTGTGCTGTGTTTGTTCCAGGTGCACTTGAATTATTTCCGTGATGGCTTGTTGCGTGTGCGGTCCTCTGTTTATGTCAAAGTTGCAGGGGCCATTCGAGGCCCTTCCATTTCAGAATTACTGAAGCTCCAGCTGGAACAGCTGGAGGAGCAAAGAAAAAACGTGCAGAGGCCAAGAAAGAGCAAACAGCGAAGCTGAACAAATGGTTTGGCTTGCCAAAGCACCGCAGGACACCTGAGCCGGAAAAGGAAGCTGAGAGCCTTACGGCCTGTGGGGTTCGGGTGGGGTGTGTCTTTTGTTCCTTGTTGGGGTCTTGTGTGTTCGGGGCTTGAGGTTTTGTTTGTTCGGCACTTGCTTTGCGATGTTTATGTGCCATGTTGGTCCCAAGTACACTGAAGCTATTGCCGTGATGGCTTGCTGTGTGTGTGGACCTCTGTTACTAAGAGGTTTTTCAAGATTACAAAATGTCAGACTTGCAGGGGCGCAGAGCCCTCTATGGCTACTCTGCGCAACGAAGCTATGCCATAGAGCGGGGGATAGACTGATCACCTATCCATACCAGCCTGCAGAGCAAAGAGTTTCATTTTCCAGTTTTATGGTGCGCTGTCATGTACAGCTTGGGAAACACCACAGAAAAAGGGAATGAGCCTTTAGTCCAGATGACGAGGTACCCAGACCCCCAGTCAAGGACTTCATGTCCTTAGGACATCGAGCTCTGCTTGATAGATGAACAGATTTGGGCTAGCGTTTGGATGCACATGTGTGTGTGTGTGTGTGTTTGTGTGTGTTCTTCTGCTCCGCGTGCGCTTCCCCAGCCCTCACTCACTCACTTGGTTGCCGTTGACTCCTTGGTGGAAATCTCAATTTGAAGCAACACCGCTTGCGAGAAAAACCAGAGACTTACTTGAAAAATGTAGACTTAATTATGTTTTTACATGTAATGTTAGATGTTCGGTAAAAAACCTAGTAAAACCCAATTTTGTCAGGCAAGTCTCTGGCTTTTTCTAGAAAACAGAAAATACATAATGACAACAAACACGCAGAACAAAAAACACTCGGAGAAAACACATACACTCGTTCCTCCCTGTGAAATTCTGGCGGCTGCTGAGTAGTACAATTTGTACCACAAAACCCTCTCCAAAACCATGTCAAACTGCATCAACGTGAATTATCATCACAGAAATGATCAGAATTGCTGTGACAAACATGTGTCTGCAAATGACATGGTCAGGGCATCGCGCTCCGGGCCCAAGCTCTCGGCAACCTGTCAAACTTAAAATGCTTCGGGCCGGGTAGCCAGTGTTTGGAGGGAGGCGGATCTTGAGATTGGAAGAACTCTTGTTGCCACTTTGTTGCCCCTGCACCTTGCTCCCGGCTCGGCGTGCCAGCTTTGACTACATGAAACGTCTCAGGTCTGGGCTGCAGTGTAAGCCGCCGAGGCGGCACTGGAAACACCAGAAACCCGGGCTGTGAAGCCTTGCTCAGTTTAGAGCCTTACCCGTGACTTGCTTGAGTTTAGAGTGCCACGAGCCAAAGCCTGAACTTGCAGGCGAGGTGCCGATGCGTGCACCTTGCGGGAGACGCGCTGAGAGCTCGCGGAGAGCACGGCGGAAAGGTTCCGGGACCTGGGGGTTTAGATCAAGTCGGATAGCCGCTTATGGCACCAACGTCCTCGCCTCCGACGCACCATCTGGAGGAAGGGGCCGCTCAGGCATCAAGAGTCCTGTTGCACTCCACATTTGTAGTTGAAGCTGCCTGCTCTTCAAGCAGCCAGTACGCCAAACAACGAACTCCATACAACTCCCTTTGCCCCTGCGGTAATGCCACACGTTTCGAGAAATGCCTGCTAACTGGAGTCTTTTGGAAGGCTTGCACCCAGGTCCTTGCCCAAGCAGCTCTGAGAGGATCAAAGCACCAGTCTCCAATCGCAGATTTAGCGACTGCGCGACGGGGCATGGGGTCTGCTCAGCACTGTGCATGCAAGGCCCTTCACCTGTTGCGTTTGCATAGCAAGCTGATCCTTCTAACATTGTTGCTTGTAGGACGCCACAACCCAGCCTCTGGCTGCAGCGCTGTGGCTTCTCGGCGGCTTTGTGGTGAAGTCTGACACGCAATTAGAGTTATGTGTCTAGACACGTCTCAAGTTGGGTATGGAGGTAAGCATCTGGTGGTTTTGAGCTTGGACATCGCTGATTCTCGACTATCAGAACCAAAGCTGTCCAAGATCCACGACACGCGCAGAAGCCACCTCGAGGGAAAGTTGTCCGGAACTTGTGTCCAAGACGTTTGCTCGGCTGACTCAGCTGTGCACAAAGATCCACCTAACTACTTCGACGATTCGCCCCAGGCTCGTCCAAGCTGCGAAGACGACTGGAAAGGGGGCGCATCCTTCTATCTGGATTTTTGGCATCCTGGACCCACCATGAAGCAAGGCCCTGCAGCTCTACAAAAGGAAGAGCCTGGGACGTGCTACATGTTACACTATCTCAAGCCCTTCGCCAGCTTAATGCAAAATGTGGAAGGATTTTGCAGAACGGGCCGTGGTTCTCAAGCTGAGTGCCACATTTCATTACATCACATCGAAAGACTTGAGGTGCTGGGCGCTGAAGCTTGACACAGGTTGCTGGACAAAAATCCAGGTTGCCTCAACAGCCCCAACGGAGACCCATCCAATGAGGGTGGCTATGCAAATCATAAGAGGACAAGACACGGACACGACAAAGGTGCTTGTTGAGGGGTCTCACTGGGGAGGCAGCACCTGTGAGGAGGAGCAAGTGCTCATACGAATTCCCAAGCCCTTTCATTTTGTTAGTGAACCCCATTATTGAGATTGACTTTAGGGCTTCGATCATGCTGGAGGAGTACTAACAAAGGAGAATGAGTCGCTTCAACTGTGCAAGAAGGTTCAGGTCCAGAGGGAGCCGTCCTCGCTCGAAGTGAATGCTGGCAACTTTTGGTTGGTTTGAAAATATTGTTTGGACATGTTTGGAATAATAGCTGGTAATGCTGTAACCCGACAGCTGGAAGACAGGAGCCCTTCAAGAGTACAGTTGGTTTCAGCTTGCTGGTGGGCTCAGTCTCACGAAAGCGGCGACATTCCTTTTGTTGGGGAGCGATCAAGTCACACCTCCTCTTCATATGCCATTTGCCTTCGACATGCTCCTTCAAATCTCCTTCAGCCAGCCACAGCAGTCACTAACAGCTAGCAAAAATCAGCAAGCGTGTAGTTGCAACCACAGCAGGGATGCCAAGTTGAAGGCACCTTTGGTGGATGCTTGAAGCCCTGCCAAGCTGCAGCCTGCTCCCTCTGACTATCTCAAGATGGTTGCTTACCTGAGCGAGAGGTCTCGCTCCAAGCTGGAACACTGCATTACGACTGTGCTCCTGGAGGTCACGACTCCATCATGCTAGAGGGAGCAGAACGAACATTTCACCTTGACCGCCTCACCTGAATCAGCTTCACTGGACCAACTTGGTACCGACTCGTCCGGATCTTCGTCCGCTTCATAGAGCTGGTACCTTGGAGTGAACGCAACATTCATTCGCAAGCTCTTCAGACCACTTCCAGGGTGCCGTTCCTTCGTTTGGAAGACAACAGCTGGAAGGGGAGAAAGCGGGCTCTGTGCCTTGTCGTGGGATCCGTAGTGTATTCGAAGGTTGTCGGCCGCTTTCGGCCATCGAAACCCCAGGCAGGCCAAGGGAGGTTGCAACCACCTCGACAGCTCTCCACCGCTGCTCAGTGAAATGTTCATTTGCTCCAGCCCTTCTGCGTCCAAGGTGCGTAAAAAGCTCAGACCAGCAAAAGGGACTGGCCGTTCATAAGGCAGCAGCACGTCTCTGCCTTTTGTGGCAGGATCCACCTCAACTGCTCAAGCATGGACCCCTGCTCGAATCATCCATGCAGCATGCACAAAAGAAGAACTTCCACAAAGCCATGAGCCCCCGGTTCCCGCAGCCTTTGATGCCAAATCAAAGAGCTTCTTTCGCAGGCCTCCGTGAATCAAGAGGAGTTTGAGTCCAGCCTGGAAAGAAGAACACGCCCAGTCCTCGGAGTTTGGCTCCGCGCAGACCCACTGCCCAGGACCTGTTTCTGCTTCATCTGCTTCTAGCGAGAGGGGCTGGTCTGAATGACGATTTATGCAGAGCGTCACACCTCACAGCCCAGACAGTGTCGAAGGCTCCCATGAAACCGCGGCTGCAACCTGAGCTCAGAGCAGCTCAGTCACTTAGCTTGCTTCAGATTCACTCAGCATCAGCTCTGCCTTCGCCGTAAGGCCAGAAAGGCTCGCGAAGCGCATCGCCTGCAAAGAAGACGGGTAGATCTCGTTCCTGGCCATCCTTGGATGACAAGAAGTCTGATTTGCGTTCACGCCTCCCAGATCAAAAGTTCTTGTAAGACGAATTGCATCTCCTTCAGCACTTAGCTAAGGAAAGGCCTTCCATATACAAAGCAACCCGTGTGACTGCCATCCTGGAGAATGTAAACAGCTCAGCACCTTCTGCACCATGCTTGCGTCAGGTTGGCGCTAGCAACAGGCCAAGAGCCGGGGGATCATCTTTTGGCTACACCCTGATCTATCTGGATCCTCCACATCTGAACTGCTGGTTCAAGCGACGAAAAGGTAAAGTTGCTGGGAAAGCCATGTGAGGTTGGCATGGTACCTTGGAGTTGAGGCTTTCAAGGCTAAGAGTCTGAGCACTTGCATACAGGCGTGGTGACTGGAGTCAACCATTAAGAAGCGAGCACTGGGTCTCCAGTCCAATCCGGGGGAATGCTGCTCTGAAAGGTGGGTGCAACGGGAACTGACGGCCCCGTCACGACACGAAGCAGCAATCAACATCTGTTGCAACTTGAGTTGTTGCAACCTCTGTTCTGGCACAAACTTGCAAGCTGCCACAGCGGCAGGTAAAGTCGGGCAAGCAATCAACTGAGGTAGCAAGCCATTTGCTGCTTGCGGCGTTAAGCGCGAGATCTTCAACTTATCGCACAGACATGTTCGGTCCCTGAGCTCCCTTGTGAAAACGAGGCCCAGCTGCGCAAATGCTGTCAGCGCTGGGCGGCCACGTGGATCGGCCGCAATGGCCCTTTGCAGGGATTTGGCCAAATAGTGGACGTCTATTTAATTAAGCAGGTGAGGGCTTGGTTTGGAGAACTGCAACTTCAAAGTCGTCCATATCCCCTCATCATCATCCTTCCTTCTGGCAATCGGTAAGCCCTGGGCCTTGTCGTCCAGAAGTTTTCTGGAATCTCCACAGGACCAAATATGCCATCAAGCGAACGCACCTACCACAAAGCTTGAGTGCACTGCTCACTGGGGTATTCTCATACGATCACAGGACGCAGGAGGCACGACGTGTCCATGCGCAGCCACAGCTGTCGGTCAGGTTGAAGGCCTTGTTTGAGTAGTCCTCAACAACCTTGCGGGCGAAGTCCTGTATAGAGCGCTTGAATTCTGATAATTATTTTCGATGAACTTGCTTGAGTGTGGTGGGGCTTCGGGTGCCTCCCTGCCCTATCTACATGCAAAGCCAGGATTTGCTTAGACCTGGGTCCACACAATATGCCATCTCACCTGCAAACACCAACGAGCCCCCCCTGCATCCTCCAGCTTTCTCATGTCAACATTCTTGTCGGACAAGAGCTCCTGGGCGCTCTAGACAGGAGGCAGCGAGGTGAGAATGCCAAGGGGCAAGATGCGCGGCAGGAACATGCAAGGATGGAATCAAACGGAGCCACGAAACAACGTAACAACAGCAGCTAATGAAAGTCACACAGTCCAGACGAAACAAACTTCACGGATGGGGACGAACTCATGAACAAAGGCAGTAAGGAGTAGCGTTGTTTCTTCACCGGGTGAGGAGCTTCAAGTCACTTAGGTCTTCTGGTCTTCGGTCTTCTCATGGTGCATAGTTCACACGAACGGCTGCAACCAGGCCTTGCCAACAAGGGTAGTATCTCGCAGAACATGGTGGTGCATGAGGACATCTAGGTCAACGGTCATGATGAAGTAGTGGGTTTCGCCTCCAAGTCACATGCACTCTCCCGCTCCTTATAAGACCTTTTGTTGGCATGAGCCTTGTAGATAGATGAGACGCTTCACAAGCGACAACTCCTCTTGAGAGAAGCCGCGGGGGCCTCAGAAGTCTCTGGGCTGCGGGGCTAACACTTCTCCTTTTACATGCTGACTACGTGCACTGGTCACTTTGCCGCGAGCACCAACTGGCAAAAAACGTGATTGAACTGTGCTGTCAAGAAACACTCTTCTAACATTCGATCCTCGGGTTCCTTGAGATTCTCAAAGTTGGCAACCTTAGCAGAGCGCTGTCTGAACCAAAACCGAGCCAGAAGCATGCCTGCACCAATTTGTGGGAAATCCTTGATCGAGCGTACAGAGAGTGTACAGCGCGAGCACTGCTCAAGGAAGAACTGGCTAAGAAATAGAGACCTCTGGATTCGGAAGCGTATACAATTCCTGCTGAAGCGCAACGTGCCTCTAAGCAAAGAAATTAAGAGGCGTTTGGTTTCCAGCTCAATTTCTGCGCGGCCCGGGCTCGGGCATCCCGAGTTCTTAGCGTTCTTTGCTTGCCGTCCCCACCCTTCCAGGGCTCTCAAATTTCTCAGCGTCCTCTTCGCTTGCGCGGCCCCCAGATGCCCGGGCCTTGCCTTGTCTCAGCGATAGCAACCCCTTAATCCGGGGACCATGCAAACGAAGAGGACGCCAAGGAATTGAGAGCCCAGGAGTCCGAGGGCCGCACAAACGAAGAGGCCGCTGAGAAACGGGGAACCTAGTCTGCGCTGAGAAGCCTCGTATGTCTTGATTTGAAGGGAGCTGCCTTTCACGGAGCGCACCCTATCTCGCGCGCAAGCCCCAGACAAAAGTACTGCCCTGCCCTTGTGATGGAGCCTGCACCGTTAAATTCATGCTGTCCTCAGCCCTGGAACTGCGCATGAAACTAAGGAGCATCAGAATAATCTTCGAAAAATCTATACAAACATACAGATATACATACATGTAGATATATATATATATATGCGCATCTGTACAGAGGAGTATACATGAATTTATATGTGAAAAAAGATCGTTAGAGTAATCTGAGGAGTGTCCGAGCATTGCTCACTTGAAAGGCTTGCTTGAGACAACGCTCATAACTAAGCATACATCATTTCTGCTCGCTGAGGTGCAACAGCAAACTCCCAACCTTGGAGTTTCTTCAGCAATTGTGCGCAGCACTTCAATGATCTTCCGGACTTCACCATGAGAAGACTCAGAGCATGGTTTTCATTTGCAAAGTTTGAGGTAGTCTGCTTTGTTGGTCTCACTCTTCTAGCAGCATAATCGCGAAGGTCATGATTGAGGTATGGACGGCAGGCGGCGTTGTGAAGGTAGATAGGACAGGCTTTGCATGCTGCTGCGTGCAGTCCTTCGTGTGGGAAGCCCTTTGTGAGATTTGATGCCAGGTTGCCAGGTTCTGTGCTGAGACCGTCAGCTCGTACTCGTTGGAGACCGAGCTGCGCAGCTACCCTGAGGGACAAAAGCTTCTCACAAATGCGAGCGGACTATTGCCCTGGACCTGCTGTTGCCACCATCGCAGGCCACGAGGCCAGCGAAGTTGTGAATCTCGTCTGATCCTCGGTGTCCACCGGGCTATAATGGGCCAGAGACATGGCACAAGAATTGCCTTTCCGCAAAATGCCTATGTGAGTCTGCACTGTCTGTGCATCACATGCAACCATTTGGCTCCGCCCAATATTCATGTGACGTGCCAGAACCTTCGTCGTTTGAAGCTACGGAGAACCTGTGCCACCATTCCAGACCAAGGGTCCTAAAGTGCGGTGCCCGGCGGCGTCCACAGATGCCTTCTGCGTGGTGACTTGCAGAAACCTGTTGGATGGTGACCTCAATGATGTGCGAAAGCCAGCATGCAACATCTACAAACGCTGCGGATCGCTTAGGATCCTGGCGGAGCCACATCCTGGAAGGAAGGATGTATGCAATTAGCTCGGTTTCTGGGACAGCTCAGGTGCATGCTGCCACGGGCATAAGATGCGTTTGGGTCGGAAGTTCGAAGCTATCCAGGCATGTCTCGGTCTAGGAATTGTCCGCATGCTTGCCAAACCGTTACAGCAGAGGGCTCCTTGAAGCTGGCACCCCAGGTGTACTGGACTCCTGCCAGAAGGCCCAGCTTCAGCAGCAGAGACTGGAGCTCGCGAATTCCGATATGATCCTGAGAACCCAGAGCAGAGACTTACGGGGTGCAAACTTGAATGGCTGAATTTCAGGATGCAAGCTCTGGCCAAGGCACTATATATGTTAGGAAGTTTGGGAGCAAGAATTTTGCTCCCAGATCCAGGAGGTCGGCAGAGGCCCAGTCCCAAAGCTTGAGGATGTTCATGCCTGCGTCTTAGGAATTCTTAGGAAAACAAAGTTCGCAGCAAACAGCACTGTGAATTGAGCAGCTCCAGTCCAACACTCACAATGTTCAGCCGGCAGCCGCCAATGAAGCTGGGAAGCAGGCGATAGAAACCGTCACGAACGTCAAAAACCTGGACCTTCCATGAATGAAAAAGCTGAGGCCAACCGCGGGATGAAATGCGGTGACTGTATTAACCCGCGCGTTCTGCCTTCGCACCCAGGAGCGCAAGCTCAAAAGCAGCTCGCAGGCCGATGGGCCCAGCACCTGGGCAGCTCTGAAAACGTCGTCTGAGCAGGTGCACGTGTTGAGATTTCATATCGGCGGCCGGGAGACCTGCGTTGGAGCTATGAAATCTGGCAAAGTGCTTCAAGGGCAGCACCAATCAAAGCTTGTCGAGTTGCTTTGCGCATCTGAGCTGTTGCAAAGACGTATTCTCTCATAGGCTTCACAAAATTACCCCACATAAACACACAAGAGTGACGGACCGTTCTAGAGGCCTCAGGTATAATTTAAGGCTTACGTAAGCTTGATTAGGGATCACTTTACCGATTCGATTGTCTCTTTTTGGCAAGCACTGGGTCATCGCTTGCAGGATACTATGCTTCTTACGAGATTACACCTCCGTGGGAGCAAAAGACGCTGCGCTGTAAAGCTGCGGCCCGTGGTGCTGTCAATAACTTGCGCAAGAACATTCATGCAAAACGAAGCAACCTCAATGCACATGGAAAGGTTTGAAGCTGGGTCTGTCTTTTATATCTTCCCCATGGTATGTATTTAGACAAGATTTCATGAACAAAAACATTAGTTACTCAACAAGAACTTGTCTCGCGCACCTGTCTACGGTCCACACCGCATGCTTCAAGTACTCGCCCGGCCCGAGGTGCAAACTCCAGCTTCGATCTATGCATAAGTTAGACTCGCTGTGCAAGTCATTAGCGTCTTGAACTTGCAAGGTGAATGGAAACAAGGCGAATCATTCAAAAAGAATGCTTCATGCTGAAGCTGGCCAGATTTGAAACCTTCAGCTTTCTTGCTTGGGCCTGCATGCACGCAGAATGGCTACGAGAATTTGGAATTGCATAGATTCTGCATGCATAGCTGCAGGCAGCAGCTCCAACTCACCAGCTTCTCTCTCCAAAAATCTGAAAAAATGTTGTATCCACTGGGGCCACTGCAACTCCTAAAGAATGCAACAATACATGTCTGCTACGTTGAGTCAAGGTGCCAACAACACCTAACCGGGCATCCTGGAGAGGATAGCCACCTGCGGTACGAATCTGACATGTGTGGGAGGAGCTCACAGCTCAGCTTGCGAGAGCATCAGAAACACGCTTATCTGGGGAGTTAAGGGCCTCTCCCCGACCCCCCCTTCCCACCCACACAAAAAAATTGTCACCGTCCAATGCTTTGCTACATGGGTGGCGCAGCGCTGCATTGTTGCTTCAGCACATGCATTCACAGTGACGGACTCGCCAAGCGGACCCGGTTTCGGAGAGCTGTTATGGGAACTATGGGAACTAGACCCCTGAATGTCAAGAGTGAGCAAAGCAGTTCATCCATGGCCTATACAAAAAATACATGAAGTACAAGGCAATGATACTTGTCGATGTTGCAACTTGAGAATACGGGCTGTTAGATGCTGGCAGGCTTCGGCCCCTGGTTCCTTTGAGAAACATGTAATCTGCATCAGGCCTGAGCTTCTCTGGCGGTCCAAGCGCGGGATGGACACGGAGGGTAATCTGTCAGCTGCAACAGGGCACTTCCACAATACTTCACGTAAGCACTTCATTGATTCACATGATTCACTGATTGCACTTCGAGGCCTGGCCAGAAGCCTCTCGTAAAGGATCACTGATGTTTGGCTGCCTTCAGCATATGTACATATCTATACATAGGTCAACATCCTTTTGAAAGCTTGGGCTCAGACAGTCAGGCGGCTCACCAGTGAGATGACTGCAAAGTTTGGAGAACGCTTCAGTGATATCCGTGATCTGCAGGGCCTGGCATAAGCTCAGATTTTGCCTTTAGCACTGGTTGTATGGTGAGGAGGACAAGGCTTGCAAGTCTCAAATTAGTTTCGCTCCTTGATCCACGAGATCTTGCAACACCAAGGACCCGCTGCCACCCTACCCTCTCTTGCATGCAAGATTCCTGGCAGAAGTCCTGACAGGTGAAAGTCTGCTCGTCAGTCCGAAGTCTGTTCGTCAGTTCTCACAAAGCAGTAGTGCATATCTGAACAGCAAAAGCTCCTCCCATGCCGCTTCTAACGACGTGGGGCTCCACGCGCTCCGTAACATACTGCGCGCGGGGCTCGGACTTCCTTCACGGCACAGCAACTGGCTGTGTGCGAACAGTTTTCATTAGTCTGCTTCTTCCAGGAAGTACGAACACCCTGGCGACAGTGGATCATATTCATGCATCTTGTATCCCTCCATCCTCGAGCGCTTCTGGAAGTTGGGCTGTCCATGAGCCGAGACTTTGAGCAGCGCATCCTCAGAGCCAGTCAGATCTGCTTGTGCCATTGCCCCGTGGTATGGGTCATACTCTGACAACTCTGAATTGTTCACTGCAGTCATCATGCTAGACACACATGTCGATGCATGGCGCAGCTGCAGGGATGTGATATTGACTGCTCAGACTTGCTTCTTCGAAGCTCTGTCAGTTTGAGGGCCCAACGTAAACAGGCGCTTCACCGATGGAAGTTGGCCCTTCAGCCACTCCTCAGCAAGAACGGCGCCTGGGATGCCTATCCGGGCCTATCCTAGGTATTCTGACAGACTCAGCTGTTGCCTTGCAAGAGTTTGGCAACGCTCTCGCAGCAGGTGAACAGAAGCAGGCTGCTACATGCTCAGGTCGCTGATGGAACTAGCAGCTGGCTGCAGCTCAAGTTCATGCTTCTTTGTTCAGCCCCATAAGCTTGTCAGCACACAGGCTGGAATCTCTGCAATCAGGTCACCCCACCCTGACTGGGATCGGTCTGCAGCCTGCAGCAGCTCTGCGATTGCAATCAGCTCATGCACAGTGAGGCACTAGCTGATTCTGCTCTTCCATGTTGAAATCCTGTCCTGTCATTCACATATTCCAGCTGACAGGCCTGTCGGACAGCAAATGCCACAAGGCATCTGCATCCACGAACTCGCCTCATGCAAAGAACGCTTGCTGTCACTGAAGGTTCTTGTATGGCACCAGGATTAAATCTTGCAGCACGTCTCTTATCATGTCGTCTGAATCACCCGCGTCATGTTTGGTAGCAGGTGCGGTCTTGGTCTCTTCAAGAAAAAGCCGGGTAGCTGTCGTTTGGGTCGAGGACTTGGAGGAATATGTCCTCACTTGGAAAAAGCCATTGATCGTCCTCCGCAGCCATATTCCGTCAGGGCGCAGCTAGCACGTTGACAATAGCACCAATCAAGCCGCATGTTGGTCAAGCCAGCCTTGAGATGCTGGCACTCCTCTACTGAGAGTAGCCCATCATGATTCCTCAGCTACTTCCATGTCTGGGGCCGAGCACCTACAAGCTTATTGCCTGCGAATTTGCGAATTGAGTGAGATGATGACTTCTTCATAGAATCAGCATGCATGCGGGTTACTCTCTTCAGAATGAGGGCTCACAAGATGCTCACTGAACTCACGCTCAGAAGCTCATCAGTGGTGATCGAAGGAAGACTGTCTGCACTGCAAAGCATGTAAGCGGGAATGCGCTGCGGGATGCTGCGGGAAGAGATGCTCTAAAATGCTCTAAGCGTCGCATCCAGAAACCGAAGCAAGCGGCGCCCAGAGCTTAGTAGCTCGTGTAGGTCGTCCATGGCAGCTTGCACGTGTCCAATAAGTTAAATGCCGTCTCAAACGTCGTCTCAAACGTTTGCTGCTCTGCATTGAGGACAAGTTCACGTCTCAGGTCTTACGATCAACAGCTACAGTCTTTTGCTGACCGCGCCTGAAATGACCTAGAAGCATCCATCGGTGGATCGTAGCCCAGAGCCAAAGCTGCCAGTCATGGTTACATGACCTAGCTCAGGAGCTGGGGCACAGCTGGGCCACTGTTGGGAGTGCTGCAACTCAACGGGTCAGCCTCCTGGGCTGGTCGCCGCTCTGGCGTAGGGCCCACAGACGTGGCTGGTGAGCCTCGTTGCCGAGGCAATAGCCCCATCTACTGGCCAACCATGAACAGCATCAGATCGATAGCCGCAAGCCGGCAGAGGGAATGGATGGACACCGAGAAGAACTGCTACCGGTCATTGCGCCGCCTGACGTATACTTCACAATACCTGTAGGTCTATCTGCGTAGCCTGCAAACAAGAAATTTGATGCGGCAGGGCAGCTTGAGGAGGCTGCTGAACGACATGCACGCACACATGCGCACGCGCACGCACACGCTCGCACACGCTCGCACACGCACACACATTTGTGCCATCCTCCCTTAGGACTGATTGGATGCTACTTAGAATCAATCTTCGAAAAAATTTCAGAGGCGTAGAATGTGTAGAGGGTTGTGGCTTTACCTCTCGCCATTTTCTCTTCAATCACGCAACGGAACATGTTTGACATGCTCCATTCTCTGGTGAGGTGTGTTGGTTGTTTGGGCCTCTTTTGTTCTGGAGAACCTTCAAGCAAGAGAACTCTAGGCTCATCACAACTGTCAACTTGTACAGCACTGCACTTGGACATGTCCAAATGACATGTTGCACATAAAAAGCATGCAAGCAAAAATTGCAACTGAATGTGACTGTACATGACCTGTAAACCTGCCGCACAAATCTAATCTTGCTGCCTCAGAGGGCCGGCTTTTTCTAATCTTGCTGCCTCAGGG